CAATTCTTATACTCGAACTTACACAATTATGTATGGTTTGACCATTGTTACACAATTAAATGGGCTTTGCTACATAAATTCTTAAGCTATATTTGTTTGGGCAGATTAGATAAGAGAATTATAATGTAATGGATTGTTAGTCTTGGGATAAATAATCGATGGACTATTTGACTAGAAATGATGTATATCCCATATTTATTTTGTCATGAGATTAAGGCCTCGTTTGGGGACTTACTTTTTTAGTCAATTAACCAAAAAGTTACTAAATTAGTCAAAAAGCCAACAACTCATACCAAAAAGTCAAAGATTCTCTTCTCTCTCTACTTTTTGCACATCTTTTCGTAATTAGCCAAAAAGTCATTCTAAACATATAAGTTTCTTTTACCTACCTTTTTAGCCAAATAGCAAAAAAGTTACTAAATTAGCATGTTCCCAAACGAGGCCTAAATGTCCACAAATAACTATTTTAGTGAATCTCATATTTAATTAAGAAATTATGAAGAAGAATAATTTTAAAATTACTGTTTTGTTCTTTTGAATTGTTTACAATGGCAATGCTAAGTTTAAAATATATTTTATTTTATTTTACTAAAATCACTTTTAATTTTATTTAAATATGACATTAGAATTATATTTCTATTTATGATTTTGCTAATATAAAAAAGGTAAAAAAAGAGTAGACTATTATATATCATGAGATTAATTTACACATGTTAAAAAAAAAAAGAAAAAAAATAGATGTTATATATTATTTTTCTTTTGAACATTAGAAGTATATTTCATTATTATTTTACTAATACAAAGGAAAAAAAATATATTATACATCACTAGATTAATTTAAACATGTTAAAAAAAAATTCAATATGTTTAAAAAAATGTTTTAAAAAATAAAAAAAAATAAATGTTATATATTTGAAGATCAATTTCATCATTTAATTAAGTTGGCTCTACCTACCTATTTCTATTTCACACCCTACATGGGATTGAGTTATCCCACACAATGTTTGAAAAATCGGACTGGCGAGCAAACCGGAAAAAGGGATTGGGTGGATGGGTTATAAGTTCAACCGTTGGGTTGAGCCGGAATCAAACCATGACGTCATAATTATTTTATGAATATTTTTATAATTTAAAAATAAATCAAATACATTCATTTAAAATATTTTTGTAATTTAAGATATATATTTATAAAATTTTTATGTTTATATATATTTTTTATATTAATATTATTTATAAAAATATTAATTATACATGTGTTTGAAAGAAATTACCTTGAATACAATAAATATTGGGACTGGCTTCCCTCCAGTCTGATCTAGGACTAGTGGGTTTTGTCGGGCTTGTGGGAACTTACCACGGGTCTCGTTTTAATAATCCGAATTATTCAATATGTAGAACTCGTCAAGTACTATATGTCTGTAAAAAATCGCATTGATTAGATATTGACAACTATTGTATCGGATCAGATTTCTGTCAACCGTTTATTTTTTCACCATCTTTTTTTTTTATACAAAACTGATTTGATCACGTAGTTATCGATATTTGATCAACTTGATTTTTTACAAGTATATAGTACTCGACGAATTCTACACATTGTATCGTTCGGATTATCGAAAATGTACCTGTGGTAGGCCCCCCCGAGCGCAACAGTACCCTTCATCCGATTTGGGATTGGAGGAAAACCCTACCTATAAATATTATATATCTCGTATATACTAACAAGGAGCCATGGTCGCATAGTAAAAAATTCATGTTCTTTGAGTTTAACTCCTTGTAGCATAATTTTTTCATTATTGGACCATATATAACAAACCGGTCCGGTTTGGTTCAATTGAGTTACCGGTTAAACTGTGGATTTGGCTGATTTAGTTTAAAAAGATGGATTTTCAAACTAGTCTGGGTTTGAGGATTGATCCGGACCAAAACTTTTCAAAACATTGATCCGACATATGAGGAACTAATACTCCAATCTTCACATTCTAACCAAACATTAGACTATTCATTTAATTAGACAAGAAATCCAATCTCATGGCTCAATCCCACCAAACAAACACCCCCTTATTTTTTACATGTGATCAAATCCAACAACTATTTTTGTTGTAGTACTAAATTTATTGATGGAATGTCCTACTTGCAATAGATAGCATAAGCTCCAAACCTTATCTTTATGTATCAATAATTGTATGGCGCATATTGTTGGGTACAAATTTGGGGGAAAAAAATTCTGGCTCATAATAGCCCTAAAACTTTTCTTCCGTAGAATATCAAGCTGTAAAAGCTCAAACAGAGCAATTAACATTTCTAAAATCACAAAAACGTGCCAGTAGGCAATGATGTACTAAAATCTTCACAAAATGTATACAAAAAGTTATGGGTTCGAGTCTCAAAGAATAGATCAATGGTATCAGAAATTGAGTGTGAGAGCTGTGAGTTGAGTGAGTTTCATCTCCTCCTCTGTATTTGTATTTTTGCTCCATTTTAGTGATAATTCTCATTTCTGTCCGTGGATGTAGGCATTGGGCCGAACCACGTAAATATTGTGTTCTCTGTGTGTGTGAGATAATTCTCTGGGTGTGTTTGATCCTAACAATAATAAGTGGGATCAATGAGATATCTCAGTTCCTCACAATCGTCACAGTATAACTCTGCAGTCTCATCCTCATCCGGATGATCTCTGATGGGAGAGTAGGTTAGAGTGAGCGGATGCCTGTGACACCGACCCTTGATAGTATCCGGTAAAATTGGAACACAGTGGACATGGATATTGAAACCACAGAGCACACACCTCAACATCGCGCAACATTTCCCACAAGAACATCGGCTGCAACGAAACCTTGTTTTATTAAAGAGGGCAAGAGGGTGCTCATGGAATTCAAACTTTCTAGGCATCAGAAAAGCGCATTCACTCCCCAAAATGAACTTGCATTCCACACAGCGGTAATTGAAGCCAAAACTATAATCCTTCCAACACGCCTTGCATCTCGTGAAACTCTCCCATGGTGGCTTTTTAGTGCATAGAACGAGTGAGTGTTGTGGGTGAAACGGGTGGTGATCGATCTTCTGTGGTAATTCAGCGCATGGTTTATGCAACAACAGTTTGCATTCAAGGCAAACGTAGATCGAATCATGATCCTGAAATTGTGACTCACACGCCGAGCAAAAAACATTGAAGTTCTTGTCCTTATTGCAGAGATCCAAGGTATGCAGCTTTGTGTGGTTGAAATGTTGGATGCTAATCTGTTGGTTAATTTGGGGTTTGAGAGATGCGCAATTGATGTCAAGGTTGAATTGGCAGGTGGAGCAGTGGAAGGTGAAGCCTCGGCGAGTCTTGCCACAAGCTTGGCACCTGAATTCGCTGTGGTTGGAAGGTGGGTGAGGGAGGAGGGTGAGAGTGTGTTGGGGGTGAAATGGGTGACTCAGCTGTTGGGGAAGTTGGGCACATGGTTTGTGGATGTGGAACCAACAGCCAAATTTAAGGCATTTATAGCTTGGAGTGTTTCGGGTCAAGACAATTTGATCGCAGCCTTGGCAGGGACCAAAAACCTCCACCTGATCAACAAGGTTCAAGGGATGGTTGTGGCTGAAGTGTTGAATCTCCATCACTCACAGACACATAGCAGCTTTGATCTAGCTCATATGCTTTCAATCCTTCTACTTACACACTTAAAAATGATTATAGAATAGACACAATTTTTTCATATGAGATTGGTCTTAAAATACGTCATGATTCTACTTTTAATTATGAGTTTTCTATTTGCAAGAAACAGTACCAAACATGTTCTAAAACATCTATTATTATGATTTACAATTTTGAAAATGCTATTGTCTCATCATTGTTGTTGAATTTTACGTATACAAATTTTGTTTATAAATTATGAAGGTAAAGCTAGTGGGCTACTTTTGGGAAATGATTGGGTGTAGTGGGTGCACAAATGCTGATATGTTATTATGCCTTCCTCCTTCAGCCTTTATGCTTATGTGTTATCTAGGATTTAGATACCTTCCTTCTTCAGCCTGTAAACTATGCTTCTCTAAATGCTAAGTTATTGACAGCATTAGCTCCACCAAAATTATAGACAGTGAAAAGAAAAAGGAAAAAAAAAGAATAAAGAGAAGTCATCAAGGAAGGAAAAGATAAAGGGAAAAGTTTACACCGTAACGCATAAATAACAAAAAAAAATTGTTGACACATGGACATAGACATAGTTTGAATAATACATACTAACTCATTCATTCAAAATTGAGAATCACATATTTAAGACGTGTATTGACTTCACGATATATGCCAAAAGTCTAAATATAAGAACAAAAGAAAAAGAAAAAAAAAAATGTAGGCCCACACTCCCTTGGATCATTCATGTGCATTTTTAGTGATATATATATTTTCTGTTTGTAGAAAATTGCATTTTATATGCTTAATCCAATAGAGCAAAGGCGAGCAGGGTGGCCACTTGAGGTCTCAAAATTTGACTTAAATAGAGGGTCCAACTAAGTTTATAGAAGTTGCTAAAAATAAACAAATAAATAATATTTTTATTAGGTTTTAATCAAATGAGGGCCCCCAAACAGAGGACAAAGTAGAAAATAAGTTCATATTAGTTGTTTACCAAAAAATAATAAAAATAAAACAATAGTAGGGACAAAGTAGAAAATAGTCTTATTAGGGCTTAATCAAATGAGGGCGATAATTATTTAAAAATAATGAATGATTATTTTCTAAATGTGTAAATTATTTATAGAATATTTTTAGCTGTACCAGTTACATTTGTCTCTAGATGAAAAAAATTTCAAAGTTAAATTTGATTGGTCAATAATGCCACAACACAAATTGAATGCAATAGCTATGTTATTCATTGAAAACCAAGCTTAATTAGTCATTTTGGAGCTAAAAGGGCAAGAAAAGTAATGTCTAAATGATATTTTGTTAAAGTTGGTTCATTTTTTATTTGGTATTGTCCAAAGCTGATTTTTCCTGAACTATATAAAGCAACAAAAGTGGATTTTATCATTTTTAATGATCTCTTCATATATGTAAGTAATTTTAATAATTATACATTCGAGTCAACTTTGTGCAAGTAATACAAATAAAAAGAATGTACATACATTTTATCCATAATTTATTTATTTGTTTTATTATTTTATTTTTTTTGTGAATATGTATGGAGGGCCTTATCTAAAAAGTCCAATAGTTGAGTGAAGAAGAGCCAACATGCCCGGGGAGACTCACACTAGCTACACAGTACTCCGATGTAGAAGCCTCAATCGAGCACTTCTCAGTTGAGCTTGAGATGAGATGTGCCGAGCCCGTTCCTGCTTCAGTATCTCTAGTTTTGCAGTGATTGCCTCCATCTCTTTATTTAATTTAGCGAGTGTTGAATCTTCGCTATCACTCTCTTCACCGTCCTCTATCTCTATCTCTCTTTCCAATTCAACCACCAAGCATGGCTCTTCCCCTAGTCCAGGTAGGTCATCCTAAGCAACATTATTTGACAAATGATTAGGAATTTTCTAACTTTGCACTTGAACTTGGAATCGCAAATTCAATAATACGAAGATTTTGTTTCGTGTGAATTTGAAAAACCTTAATTAGCATAAAGTAGTAGTGTGGACATGTATGTTTAAGTGAATAGTGAATAATTTGGGCTTGCTTACCTCATAGATCATGCAACTAACATGTGCAACAAAGTGGCACTCGGCGCAGTAATAAGTTGGATTTGGTAGGTACCGTGGTGTCTCACAGACGTCGCAATAAAACTCTGAGTTCTCGTCTTCTTCTGGCGAATCTCTAATTGGAGACTTTGTAAGGGTGAGGGAATGCCTGTGACATTGATGCTTCCTGGTAAGTGGCAGCGTTGGAACACAATGGAGATGGAAGTTGAAGTCGCACTCGACACAACGAAAAAAATGGTTGCATTTGTTGCATCCACAACAAGCACAACCAAATTTATTACCCTTTTCATTATCCTTGAAGAAAGCTAGTGGGTGCTGATGAAGTTTAAACTTCACGATGGGCCTAAGCGAAACACAATTCATGTCCAAACTGAATTTGCACTCGGCACAGTGGTAGGTGAAGCCATTAAAATCAGCCCTACATGCCGTACATAATTCTAAAGACCCAATCTCATAGGCGGTACCTGCCTTGGTGAGAACAAGAGGGTGTTGCGGATGAAAAATGTGTCGGATCTTATATGGAAATTTAGTACAGGCTTCATGTAGCACGAATTTGCATTGAAGGCAAACGTATATTGTGTCCTCAATGAACTTTGAACACCCTGAGCAATAAGCAAATTTTTTTTCTGTGAAGCAAGGTATGAAAGGATGTGGGTGGACATGAGGACTGGTGTGACTATTATTATCATCGTGGTTTGCAATGGGCATTAGCGAAGCACACGCAGGATCCAATTCAAAATCACATTGGGAACAATGATATTTGGCATTCCAGAAAGGGCAACCACAGACATCGCATTTGAAATGTTTACCAGGTGGCCTAGCAATGAGGGTTAGAGGGTGTTGAGGATGGAAGAGATGATTGATCTCTCGTGGCAATTCAGCGCATGATTTGTGCAAGACGATGTCACATTTGAAGCAAACATAGACTGAGGCCTCAAATATTCTTCCACGACACAATTCACACCGATAATCATCATCACTGTAGTACTTATCAGATGGTGTCAATGTCAAGGGACATTCATGGATGAAATGTTGCATCTCCATCTGTCTCTCTCTTGACCTCTTTTTTCTTTGTGAGCCTGCTCATATTTAGCCTGCAATCAGTATTTCGAATCTGCTAATCATGTGTTGATGTAGTGTGATAATGTATGGAAGGTATCGGGGGCATGCATTGATTGATTGGGGGTGTTCAATGGGTTCTCCCTCCAAGCATTTCTTCTTTGTTTGAATGGTGGAGTGGATTCAAGTTCAAGAACTTAACAAGCCATTTCTGGGCTACTTTGCTGATGGTGGTGCTCTGGACATTACGGAAGGTACACAATAATCTTCTGTTTAATAGTATCAATCCAGATTGGGGTGAATTGAATGTGTTCATGTTAGATCAGTTTTATGGGTTAGGGTGAAGTCTAATGTGCCAGAGCTTACGGTTAACACAACCGTCTGTCGTTCTATATAACAAATTGTTGGTAAATCCTTTTTTGTTAATTTGAATTTGGTGACTCTGGATTTATATTGGTTTGATTGAATTTGAGTTTGTTGTTAACTTGATGATGCAATGATTTGTGTTAGTGTTCAATTCATTGACATTTTTCGTGTTAGAATCAAAATTTCAAAGTAGGTATTTCTAAAAAACCGAGGAAATAAAATTTCAAAAAAATTGGAAGCCTCAAACTTTCAACTGATTTTTTTTGCCGAATGTCAATAGCAGTTATTATACTACGTAGGGCTGAAAAAAGAGTTGAGCGAACCGAACAGTTCATTATTCAAGCTTAATTTAAAAATTTTAACGAATTTTAAAATTTGTTCAAATTATTCATTAGGCTTATGGAATTGAGTCGAATGAATAATTGGTTGTTCAAGCTTGATTTGAAAATTTTAAAGAGTTCTAAAATATATTCAAGATTGACTTATTTACCTAACGTAGTGATCTCAAACAAACTTTTAATGAACCAGCACGAGTTGAGTTAGAACTCTTTGGTTCGTTTAATTATATTTAGGCACTATTTGGCATCTCTTATATTAACATATTTTTCTTTATCTTTTTATCTTTTTTGAGTCAAATCACTTCTCTATTTTTCACATATTTTCGTAAAAAATCAAAAAAAATATACTTATTAAGATCATCTCAGCCACCCTCTGAATCATATATTAGAGTATCTCCAATGATCTACCATTAGAGCTGCCAAAGCGATTTTATAGCAAGATATAGCAATGCTATAACTGATGCCAAATTTAACCGGAGTTTTGGCAATTGCCAAACTTGTCAGTTCAACAATAACCAACCGTTTTTTATTTTCTACCAACAACAACAAACAAGAATTGAATGAAAGAATACCAATAAAAATTTAAATTACCTTCAAATTTTTACATAAAAATTTTCAAAAATAAATTATACAACAAATATTTTTAAAGAAAAAAATAGATAAAAAAATGAGGAAAAAAAATAAAGACTATAAGAACAAAATAATAAGAATAAAAAAAGGGGAAAAAAACATACCAAGTTCCGACAAACAAATCTCAGTAGAAAAAGAGAAGAATACAAAAATCCTAATATTTCCAATTATGGGTAAAATCCCACAAGGAACAAATTGTTTTGTACGTTTAGGTGTGGTTACATGGCAATATAAAATTACAATTAAAAAATTAAAGTTCATCAATTTTGCAATGGAGGGAGGGAGGAGTGTCTGTCTGGGGGTAGATAAGAAGTGAGAGATCTGAGAAAGAGAAATGAGAGATGATTACCTTCTTCTTGTTGGAGACTTTAGATTAGACGCCTTGGGATCGACAACAGGAAACAGACAACAATGGTGAAAGCGGCGCTTTTGCTGTAAGTACAATTGGATCACAATGATGCCGATTAAGATGAAGACGAAAATGAAGATTTGATTGGAAGACGGCTACACCTTTCGGCAGTGATTGGGTATACTGGGGTGCACAAACTTACAATGCGATTATTATGTAAATTATATTAATTAATGATATATATATATATCCTTTTCATTTAATTTAGTGAAAAATCTTCTTTCATATACTTGTATTCTAATTAGTTCATAAAATATTTTTATATTTTAATAAATTATATTATTTTGAATATTTGATCTATCAAATTATAATTCTCATATTTAAGACGTTTTATAAATAATTTTATCTTTACAAATATTTTTTAAACCCCTAACAACTTAATAATGTGAACATTCATGTTAAATAAATTTGACAGTGTGAATATTCATATCATTTACACTGTCAATGTGAACAGTAAATCAAATTTTATCTTATCATTGTTAAGAATATTTTTATAATTATGTCACTCACAAGATCATAAATACCCTAAATTTTTATATATAGGGTTTGTTTGGTATGTAGATTGACTTTTTGACTATTTTAACGTGGGGTTAAAAAATCTCATTTATGATAGACTTTTTAATTTTTTTGACTTTTATAAGAGAAAAAATAAAATAATTATGAATTAAATGTGACATTTTTATTTTATTTGACTAAAATAACATATTTTATCTTATATAACTATTTTAGCCCAAACTAGCATCTCAGGCCATAGAATGACATAACTTGTTCATAGGATCTTTTCATTTTTATTTAGAACACTGATCAATATTCTTATAATTTAAAAAATTTTATTTACATATCATTTTAGTTTTTTTTATTATTATAAAAGAACAAAAAGAATAATTTAAAAAAATCAATTATTTTTTATATGAAAGAACAATAAAGCTATTAAAGTAAGAAGAGCTTTAAAAGAAAATCAAAAGAACTATCTATTTAACAAAATGTTGCAGGAACTTTAATTATATTATTAGTCATTTCTTATTTATTATTATATCCTTTTCATTTAATTTAGTGAAAAATCTTCTTTCATATACTTGTATTCTAATTAGTTCATAAAATATTTTTATATTTTAATAAATTATATTATTTTGAATATTTGATCTATCAAATTATAATTCTCATATTTAAGACGTTTTATAAATAATTTTATCTTTATAAATATTTTTTAAACCCCTAACAACTTAATAATGTGAACATTCATGTTAAATAAATTTGATAGTGTGAATATTCATATCATTTACACTGTCAATGTAAACAGTAAATCAAATTTTATCTTATTATTGTTATGAATATTTTGATAATTATGTCACTCACAATATCATAAATACCCTAAATTTTTATATATAGGGTTTGTTTGGTATGTAGATTGACTTTTTGACTATTTTAGCGTGGGGTTAAAAAGCCTCATTTATTATAGACTTTTTGATTTTTTTAACTTTTGTAAAAGAAAAAATAAAATAATTATAAATTAGATGTGACATTTTTATTTTATTTAACTAAAATAACATATTTTATCTTATATAACTATTTTAACCCAAACTAGTATCTGAGGCCATAGAATGACATAACTTGTTCATAGGATCTTTTCATTTTTATTTAGAACACTGATCAATATTCTTATAATTTAAAAAAATTTATTTACATATCATTTTAGTTTTTTTTTATTATTATAAAAGAACAAAAAGAATAATTTTAAAAAATCTATTTATTTTTTATATGAATGAACAATAAAGCTGTTAAAGGAAGAAGAGCTTTAAAAGAAAATCAAAAGAGGTACTAATGACCACGCTTAAATAATCATGTAAGCAAGGTATATACTACATAATATTGACACAACAAAATTATAGAAAATAGATTTAAAAGAAAAGAAAAAAAAAAACTTACTTTTCACTAATTTCAAATGAAAAAAAAAAACCATTGATTTCAAATATTTTTGGAAAAATTAGATAATCAAAACATCTACCCTGCAACAAATTAAACTCTCCATTTTAAATTTCTTTAATTTAAAGTTAATTTTGGAGTGATCTCAATTTTCATCATCCATCCAAACAAAGAAGGATGACTTCAACTAACTAAGGTAGGCTTAACCTAATTAGTCACTATAACTTTCATAAGAGTTTAGTTATAAGGAGGTCGTGGGTTGAGTTAAAATGCAAACACTTTGACTGTGTTTGGTTTGAGAATTTGATACGGGAAATGGAAAGAAAAAAAGATATGTAATATCACTTTTGTTTAGTTATAATGGAAAATGCAGGGGAAAAGAAAGTGAGAAGAAAATACAACTACATTTTTTGTCTTTTGAGTTCATTTAAACTTTTTTCTTTCTCCATTTCTTAACTCAATCAAACATAACTTGGAATTGAATTCAAATTATATCAATTCATTCTCCTTTTATTTCCATATCCCTTTTTTTTCATTTTTTTTTTCCTCATCAAATCTTCCAACCAGAGATAGCTTTAGGATTGGTTTAGCAACCAACTATAAGACAATTTTTTTTTTTTTAAAAGTTACAAAAAAAGTCTAAAAGTTAAAAAATTATTTAAAAAGTCAAAGATTTCTTTTTATTTTTACTTTTATATATTTTTTCGTTTAAAAAAATATTCCAAACATAATAATTTTTTTTAACCACATATTTTAGTTAAAAAGTTAAAAAATTACTAAAATAACCTATTTCTAAATCAATCCTGAATACTTTGCAAAGGCGGCTAAATTTCGCAGATGAAAATAAATAAATAAATAAAAAGGACATTTACACACAAATCCTAATTTATAAACTATACTCCATTAAGTCTTAACTATTTTTTTTTTTTGATTTTCAAGTCCTATTAAATTTTTACTTGTCGAAATTGTCTTTCAAACAATTATTATTCATTATTTATGATTATCTATATAGGTACATGATGATTTGATATTTATTTTGATTTTTAAAACTTTAAAATATCAACTTTCAAATTGAAAAAATTAAAAAAAAAATATGTGCCAAAAATAATAATAAGCAGCTTGTTTGGTTTTGGTTTTTAAAAAACTCTTTTCAAAAAATTCTACTTTTTTATTTTCAGTATTTTTTTTATTTTCAATGAATTTTTTAAAATTTTAATCAATTTTTTTAAAAAAATTTAGACACATATAACATAATACACTTAAAAAGTATAATATTTGTAAACAAAATATTTAAAAAATTTACTAAATATCAAAAATACGAAAAAAAATATAAAAATTCAGTACATTTTTCATATTTTTGTATATTTATTAATTTTTTAAAATATTTTTCACAAATATTTTACTATTTAAATACATCTAAGTAAGGTGCATCTAAAAAAGTAAAAAAAAAATGCTTAAAATTTTAAAAATATTCACCAAAAATAAAAAAAACTCGAAAAATAAAAAATTTAATTTTCAGAAAACTGAAACCAAACACACTGAATGTTATTTTTGTTGAAAAAATTGAATTTTTTTGGTGCAAAACTGAAAAATTTGTATCTATGGAGTAGCATGATGTTGGAACATTGATGTACAAAACTAAAAAAAAAAAAAAACTTTAAAAATGAAAAAATTAATAATATTCTTAGTTTTAAAACCGAAAAAAACTATTAATGTTTTCGATTTTATTGGATAGTTGAATCAAACTAATAAGAAGAATTGCAAAAAAGTTTAATCTCATGTTCTGGTTTTTTTTTATTTATCGGTTAATGAAACACTTATCTAGAACATTACTATACAAAATTAGTAATGTTCTTAGTTTTAAAAATTGAAAAAAACTAATAATATTCTTAGATTTACTAAATAGAATTCATTGATTTAAAAAATCTTAAATAGGATTTGAGTTATCATAATATTTGTAAATAAAATTTTTAATTCTAAATAAAATAACTTCAATTCACATTTGTTTTTATTTTTCTTCCATAAAAGATTCTAAATCCTAGTTTGACAAGTGAATTGAGTTTAGGTTGGGATTAAAAATATATATAAAAAAAATAATCCCAAATATACTAATTTTTTTTAGCTCATATTTTAGCTAAATAGCCAAAAAGTTACCAAATTAGCCTGTTCTCAAACAAGGCTTTAGTGTTTTATTTTTTTTTTCTTTATGTGAGACAAGTCTTAAATATTTTTAAATAAATTCTTTAAATATATGAATTTTTTTTAAAATAACAAAAATAAAAGAAAATAAACCAATTTATTTTAAAAATTCCAATACATTCTAAGTGGTGTTTTAAGAAATGGATAAAAAACTGACTTTTTTATTTTTTTTTATTTTTAGTAAATAAAAAATACGAAAAATAATATAACTCAAAATAAATAAAAAATAAAAAATTAACTTTTTACCTCCTTACCACATCACCCCATTGTCTGCATAGAGAATTTTTTTTTAAGTCAAAAGCATATCATTGTTTTTGTCATTATCAACAGCGGTCTCCTTGCACCACTCCCTCCATCCCTTTCCTAACCCGCCGCCAACCCCACTTTTCATACCGTTTACAATGCTACCCACAATCCTTTACAATCCTAGGAGCATCTCTGATGGCTAGCTATGGAGTTGTCATTGTCCATATTTGGTAAAAATTTCCAAAAATCTTGCTGTAGTGGATTGTTTTAATTCCTGTAAATTTGATTATTGTCATTTTCATTGTCAAATTTGACATTATCAATCTTGCTACGTCATCTAAATATACAAAATTCAATTCCCATTTTCTATGGAACAAACATAGTGAAAAAAATTCAAGAACAAATTAATAAAAATAGAATAATCAACCAAAATTATTATAAAATAAAATATTATCATAAAAGCAAATATGCAGATATTTAAAAATAAAATAAAAAACCCGATGAAGCAAATTAGAGGGTTTCAAAGAGAGAATTGAGATGGAAAGAGAGGATGAGACAGCTGATCTTCGCCGGGATTGATCGAGATGGAGAGAGTGAGGGTTTCAATTACGGTTTGGGAGATGATCTGCGACTAATTTTCGCTAGATGTCGAAGGTGAGGGGTTGGCCATATAGAGGGTCAGGGTCAGAGAAGCAAGCGATAACTGGGGTTTGTGCTCGTGGTGGTTTTAGGAAAAAAAGAGAGAGAGAGAGGCGGATCAGATTGTGA